AGTCCAACGTCGAGGATATGCCGACACGTGAAGCTAACCCTAAACCCCTAAACCCCTAAACACCTGAACCCCTAACCCCCAAAACCCCTAAACCCCTAAACCCCTAAACCCCTAAACCCCTAAACCCTAAACCCTAAACCCCTAAACCCTAAACCCTAAACCCCAAACCCTAAACCCTAAACCCCTAAACCCCTAAACCCTAAACCCCTAAACCCCTAAACCCTAAGCCCTAAACCCTAAAACCCCTAAACCCTAAACCCTAACCCCTAAACCCTAAACCCTAAAACCCCTATACCCTAAACCCTAAACCTCAAACCCTAAACCCTAAACCCTAACCCCTAAACCCTAAACCCCAAACCCTAAACCCTAAACGGCCTCTTTGACTGCCGCATCCTCTGGCCCGAAGCCGCAGCGGAAGAGCCCTGGGCGGTTCACGTAAAGAACGGGGAGTTCCTTGGCCTCCCCAAATAGGGCTTAGGGCTTAGGGTTTAGGGTTTAGGGTTTAGGGTTTAGGGTTTAGGGTGTAGGGTTTAGGGTTTAGGGTTTAGGGTTGAACCCCTAGAGGGTCTTAGAGCCTTCGGGAACTTTGGGCTCATGGCTTCGGGGCTTGGCGTGTACACGGCTCTTTTTCCGCACGCCATCACAGGCCCAGGTGGTGCAGCCACTCCTCCAAGGCGTCACTACTGGCATCTTGGCTTTGAAACCCTAAACCCCGAAACCCCCCAAACCCCCGAAAAACCCCCAAACCCCTACACCCCCAAAGAGACCGAAGCTTGAACATATGTGTGAAGAATGGCGGAGCTCCCATTACATGGTGTCACCCCATCGGCGTGGAGCCTCCGGGCGGTTGTTGGGGGTTGGTACGGTTTTCCAGGGCTTCTAGGGTTTGCAGTGTGCAGATTTGTTTTTAGGGCTTTTGTCTTGAGGGCCTATATTTTTGTTCAGGGTTTATATTCTTTACAGGCCCTGTATATTGTTTGTAGGGTTTCTGATGTTTATAGGGTTTGTAGAATCTAGGCCCTCAAGACGGAGGCTTGACCGAAACTACGGGCTCTCTGGGTCCCTACTGGGGTGCGCTTCCTGGAATACTGGAGGGTGATGAGGGTTTGGGGTTTAGGGTTTAGGGTTTGGGGTTTAGGGTTTAGGGTTTAGGGTTTGGGGTTTAGGGTTTAGGGTTTGGGGTTTAGGGGTTAGGGTTCAGGGTTTAGGGGTTAGGGTTCAGGGTTTAGGGTTTAGAGTTTAGGCTTAGGGTTTAGGGTTTAGGGTGATCAGCCCTGACATGTCAAATAGCCCCGAAGAAGGATGCCCCCCAAAACGCTGAACCCGCAACTTCCGACAGCAGAACCCAAGCACAGTTCCCTGGACCTCCTAAACCCTAAACCCTAACCCTAAACCCTAAACCCTAAACCCTAAACCCTAAACCCTAAACCCTACACCCTACACCCTACACCCCAAACCCTAACCCTAAACCCGACACCCGTGGCCATAGACCCTAAACTCTAGCCATCCTTGATCTTCTTTTCGTGGACGCCCAGTACCTTCCCAGCTGGGTTTAGGGTTTACTGTTTTGCGTCTTATGGTCTAGGGTTAGGGTGTAGGGTTTAGGGTTTTTGGGTTTCGGGTTTAGGGTTTAGGGTTTAGGGTTTAGGGTTTAGGGTGTAGTGTTTAGTGTTTAGGGTTTAGGGTTCAGGGTTCAGGGTTCAGGGTTCAGGGTTTAGGGCTAGGGTTTAAGGCTTTAGGGCTTTAGGGCTTTAGGGCTTTGGCTTTAGGGGGTCTTAGTTAGGGCTTCAGGGCCCCGAAGTCCCAAGCCCCAGCAGCGCACGTCCACCGACTTCCGGCTTCCGCGGCCCACGCGCGCGGAGGCGTCGCAAAGGCGACCGACCTCAGGGTTTAGGGTTTAGGGTTTAGGGTTTAGGGTTTAGGGTTTAGGGTTTAGGGTTTAGGGTTTAGGGTTTAGGGTTTAGGGCTTAGGGTTTAGGGTTTAGGGTTTAGGGTTTAGGCTTGAGGGTTTGGGGTTTGGGGTTTAGGGTTTAGGGTTTAGGGCGGGGGGGTTTGGGTGGGTGGTGGAGGCGGCTGGGGGGGGTTAGGGTTTAGGGCTGTAGGCTTTAGGGGGGTTAAGGGGTTTAGGGCATTTAGGGGACTCAGAGGTTTAGGAGGTTTAGGGGATTTAGGGCTTCGGGTTTGGCATGTAGCGTTGCTGGGTTAAGGGGGTTAGGGGTCTAGGATCTAGGGCTGATCAAGGCCTTGTCTTAAGTCTAACTCTCAGAATTTCGGGTTTATGTTTTACCCGAAATTAATGCGGTCTATCTAGCTATTGAACGGGTGTAATCAGGCCATTCTGCAGTCGATAAGAATTTGTAGACTCTTTTAGGCTCCCTAAACCCCATCCCTCTACACCCCAAAGCCCGTGCACACACGACCACGAAAACCCGCCTCGCGCGCCAGGTGCTCCGCATCCCCATAGACCCTAGCGGCGGCTTAGGGTTTGGGGTTTGGGGTTTGGGGTTTAGGGTTTAGGGTTTAAGGTTTAGGGTTTAGGGTTTAGGGTTTAGGGTTTAGGGTTTGGGTTTAGGGTTTAGGGTTTAGGGTTTAGGGTTTAGGGTTGAGGGTTGAGGGTTGAGGGTTTAGGGTTTAGGGTTCAGGGTTTAGGGTTCAGGGTTTAGGGTTTAGGGTTTAGGGTTTAGGGTTTAGGGTGGGACATATGGACTCGTCTCTGGGTCTTGGGTCTTGCGGCGCTGTTGGATCCTAAGCCCAAGGAGCCCGAACCCCACAAACCCCACAAACCATGCAAACCCTGCAAACCCTACCCCTCAACCCTAAACCCTCAACTCTAAACCCTAAACTCTAAACCCTAAACCCAAAACCCTAAACCCTAAACCCTATAAACCCTAAACCCTTCGGGGCTGCCTCCGTATGCGCGTGAACTTCTCGCCCTTCTGCGTGGGCTCCACGTACACCGGTAGGTTGCCGGAGGGCGTCCTCTCTACACCGCGGGGTTTGAGGGTTTAGGGCTTAAGGTTTAGGGTTTAGGGTTTAGGGTTTAGGGCTTAGGGTTTAGGGTTTAGGGTTTGACCTAAGCCCTACAGCCTCAACCCTAAACCCTAAACCCTACACCCGAAGGCTGGGCCCTTGAGGAGCCGCCCCCCAATCCCTAGTCCTGTGAACCAGGAAGGGGAGGTTCTTCGTGTCCATCTCCTGCGGCGGGGATCCTACATCTCAGACCCTTCATTCCCCAACCCTAAACCCTAAACCCGAAACCCTAAACCTAAACCCTAAACCCTCCCTGTGCCTCCTTTTGCCGATAACGGCGCTCAAAGACCCAGCGTCGCTGCAGCAGCTTGCACAATCCTGTACAAGAATTCGGGTTTCGGGCTAAGCGTTTAGGGTGTAGGGTGTAGGGTTTAGGGTTTAAGGTTGAGGGTTTAGGGTTTAGGGTTTAGGGTTTAGGTGTTCGGTGTTCGGTGTTAGGGTTTAGGGTTTAGGGTTTAGGGTTTAGGGTTTAGGGTTTAGGGTTTAAGGTTTAGGGTTTAGGGTTTAGGGTTTAGGGTTAGGGTTTAGGCTTGCCTTTCTCGGGCTCAGGGTTCCAGGGGACAGGTTAAGGGTTTCAGGGCTTTCGGATCGAGTCAGGGCTTCGGGCTCCAAAGTGTTGAGGTGTTGTCCTCGGCTTTTGGAGCTGCGGAGTTTGAAGGTTCAGGGGGGCTCAAGCAAACGGTAGAGAAATTTAGGGTTCAGGCTTCAGGTTTTAGGGTTCAGGTTTTAGGGTTTAGGGTTTAGGGTTTAGGGTTTCGGGTTTAGGGTTCAGGGTTTAGGGTTTAGGGCTAATTGGGGTTGAAGGGTTAGGGACTCTCTCCTCTGGCAACGCGCTGCTGCCGAAGAGGAGCCAGCATCATCGAGAAGGCCGCGGAGATGCCGCGGGCTCTTTTTCGGGGGGTTCAGGGTTTAGGCTTTTTAGGGTTTAGGGTTTAGGGTTTAGCGTTTAGGGTTTAGGGTTTAGGGTTAGGGTTTCGGGGTTTCTTAACCCGAGTCTCATACGATCTTAAGATCGCCAACGGTTCATGGGTCCCTCCATTTTTGGGGGGTGTTCATCTGGTCCCCTTTGGGTAAAAAGGTCCTTTTGGCAGCTGCGTGAAGCCCAACCGGCGGCGGACAAACAAACAAGAAGACCCCATATTTTGATTTCGGGTTTGGGGTTCAGAGTAATGTTGACTTCGCATTAATAAAACCCCCCCCCCTCCCCCCCTTGATTGATCAATCTCTCCGGCCAGGGCCTCCTCAATTATATTCGCCTAAATCCTGGTAGGACGTACTATTAGTTTTAGTATTAGGTAGTAGCACCACGCCCGTAAAAAAAAAAAAAAAAAAAACGGCTGGATTTTATAATTGTGGGGGGTTACATTATTGTGTTCCGGCAGCTGGATTTTATAATTGTAGCGGGAATCATTAATGTGAAGTCAACATTATAGGGCAAACCCGAATACAACCCGAAGGAACAGAAGCCGGCAAAAGCCCAGAAGCCCCTTCAGCAGCACTTTTGCCCTAAAACCTAAACCCTAAATCCTAAGCCCTGAACCCTAAACCCGTTTCAACCGGCTTTTTGGGGGCTTGGGTTTAGACCTCCAGGTGCTGGTCTTTCAAGGGTTCTACACCCTTTAAAACCCCCCCCCCCCACCGTGAAAACCTATAAACCCCCCAAACCGGAAAACCAAGAGACCCTAAACCCTAAACCCTGGAAACCTAGAAGCCCTAAGCCCTAAACCTTAAACCCTCAACCCTAAACCCTAAACCCTAAACCCTAAACCTTAAACCCTCAACCATAAACCCTAAACCCTAAACCCTAAACCCTAAACCCTAAACCTTAAACCATCCTAATTGAGGCCCTGAGGTCCCGCGCGGGCGAAGCTGGGACAGGATTGGACCGGGGACGGCATCTGCCAAGGGAAGGGTCTAAGGTTTAGGGTTTAGGGTTTAGGGTTTAGGGTTTAGGGTTTAGGGTTTAGGGTTTAGGGTTTAGGGTTTAGGGTTTAGGGTTTAGGGTTTAGGGTTTAAGGGTTAGGGGTTAGGGGTTAGGGTTTAGGGTTTAGGGTTTAGGGTTTAGGGTTTAGGGTTTGGGCTTTCAATTTTCAAGACAAAACGGTCTTCGGAGACCCCAGCCATCATTCTAGGAATCTCAAACTAGCGGTCAGTATTAAAAGCCCCAACAGAAAACTGCCCCTATTTTGAAAGGCCCCCCCCCCCTCCCCCAACCCCGCCCTAAACCCTAAACCCCAAACCCTAAACTCCAAACCCTAAACCCCATTTTGGAACCCCCCCCCCCTGCCAAAAAAACAGCAAAAAGAGGCCTAACGGTTCCGAGGGCTTGGGGGCCACAACCCCTCGCCCTACGCAAGAACATGACAGAACGCAGCACGCACTGCCGAAAAAGTGCGCCGCAAAACCCACAACCCCAAACATGAAAGCTAAACCCTTAACCCTGGACGCCCTCAACCCTGAACGCCCTAAACCCTCGACCCTCAACCCTGAAACCCTAAACCCTAAACCCTAAACCCTGAAACCCTAAACCCTAAACCCTAAACCCTAAACCCTAAACCCGGCCTCCGCTCCTGTCCGCCTTGTCCTCGCCGGAACCCTGATTGTCGTAGCTCCCCACCAAGCTTCGAGCCCAAAAAGGCATTGAGGGAGCTGCGGTTAGACGGTTTAGGGCTTAGGGTTTAGGGTTTAGGGTTTAGGGTTTAGGGCTGAGGGTTTAGGGCTTAGGGTTTAGGGTTTAGGGTTTAGGGTTTAGAGTTCAGTATTTATACTTAAACCGTATAACCACTGCACCCGAGGATGACTTTCGCCCAGGTTTCGGCCAGCTTGTCTTGGGCCAAATAGTCCGATCAATTCTGAGATGCCTGTTCGCTGCATAGGGAATGTCCTGAAGAGACTTCCATGGTCGACAGTCCTGTGCGTGCAAGATTCGTCTGTTCACCAGAAGCGTCGGGTAGCTTCTGCTCGGCTCGTTGAGTGAAGTCTCTCAAGTCACAGAGTCACACGCTCTGTCGTTGCTATGCGCGTTGTCTATCGTATTGGTGGGCTTGTTATATTGCGAGCATAATAGGAGGCACTATTTCCACACTGGCTAAGCAACCAATACACGACAGCCTTTGGATCTTGGTGTAAGATCTCTGTGACACTCCACAGCGATTGCGGCATGACTCTCTGCCCCACTGTCCTCAAGCATAAACAGTTAACATAGCACACGTTCTCTCATCATTCGGTGCCAGTCAAGCGTGTCAACACTTGTCACTCTTCCACGCTGTTGGATCTTGTTCCGTGGGCGGCGGAACACCACAGGTAGTCAAGGACAAAATTGAGAAAGCAGTTTCGTGAGCAGCGTGTTGCGTTGACGGCATACTTGAGCTTGTCGTGAACACCGTGTCACGTTGACTGCGTGCTTGAGCTTGTCGCGACCAGCGTGTTGCGTTGACGGCGTGCCTGAGCTTGCTCCGCTACCATATTTATATCTGAACCGTATGACCACTAAATTCGAGAATCACTTTCGCCCAGGTTTCGGCCAGCTTTTCTTGAGCCAAATAGTCCGATCAATTCCGAGATGGCTGTTCGCTGCAGAGGGAATCTCCAGAAGAGAATTCCATGGTTGACAGTTATTTGAGATTCGTCTGTTCACCAAAAGCGTCGGGTAGCTTCTGCTCAGCTCGTTGAGTGATGTCTCTCAAGTCACAGGCTCTGTCGTTGCTAGGAGCGTTGTCTTCTTGTGTTGGTGGGTTAGTTATATTGCGAGCATAATAGTAGGCACTATTTCCACATGTAGGGTTTAGGGTTTAGGGTTGTTAGATGGTTTAGGGCTCGTTGTTGAGGAGCTAGGGTTCATCAGGGTTTGGGGTTTAGGGCTTAAGAGGTTTTGAGTTGGGTTAAGCAGTGGTATATGTGGAAGATGAGACCGACAGCTGTTGACACATGTGCCACTTGCAGCAACGCAACGTCACAAGCCATGAACCAAACGATCAGGCGCCGTTTTCGCGGCTGTGAGGCATTAGCATCGGGAGGGCTGTGAAAAGGCTTCTGCAGCATGGGTTTGTCTAGAACGCCTGAACCCAAATTCTAACCTAAACCCTAACCCCCCCCCCCCCCCCCCCACACCTTTCACAGCAGGTATCCGCACAAGGAATCATTCCTCACCAAACACCAGTAATAGACACCCTATCTCATACGACGACAACCGTTAAAAGCCTAAACCCTAAATCTCAAACCCTACACCCCAAACCAACCCTAGTTCGTCCCTACAACCCTCTAGCCCTAAACCCTAAAGCTAAACCCTAAACCTACAACCAGGCGAGAACACATCGACACATTCCGAGTTCGGCTATTCACCTACAGGGCCAACTGAACCAAGCAGCCGGCAGGGTTTGGGCTTTAGAGCTTGGGTTTTCAGTTTAGGGTTTGGGGTTTGGGGTTTGGGGTTTAGGCTTTGCGGTTTAGGGCTTGGGGTTTAGTTCGGGTTTGAAAAACTTCAACCCGAAAAACCAAGAGTGTTGCGACTAACCCTGGCTTTGGCGCAGTTTATTCTATTCGATCGCGAAAAAACATATTGTCGTGCGAAAATAGAACTCTGTTGTGCCGCGCGAACTCACTTACTATTGTTTCATGAAAAAAACCGCCACAATACGACTTCCTTTGATACTATGATTCATTACCAAAGGGTCATACTGGTTTGAGTCTTCATGATTTCTGATATTAAATTGAATGTCATCTCGCGCACGATTCTAGTTAGTCTGCTTGCATCCCCCTGTAATGCTGTAGGGAAAGGCCCCATTATGAAGGCCAAGGTAAAGGGTGAAAGACTCACTCATTAGTTCAGTCGTTTTTCGGGCCAGTAATACAGAAATGAAGAGTGGACCAGCGCACCCCAGATTCCACCTACTTTAAAGGGCCTGTTGGTAAGCTCGCACTCGCAACAAGCCCTGAACCCTCAACCCTAAAACCTAAACTCTACAGACCCTCAACCCGGAAGCCTAAACCCAGGAAACCCTCAACACCCTCAACCATATAAACCCTCAACGCTCAACCCTCAACCATAAACCCTAAACCCTGGACCCTCAATCCTACAACTAAACCCTAAACCCTGAACCCTAAACCCTATACCCTATAAACCCTAAACTCTGTGGATCCTAAACCCCTTCGCTGAAGCCGTGCAAGCGCTCTCTCAGCCTGAGCAGAGACCGAGGAATGGGTTTTAGAGTTTAGAGTTTAGGGTCTAGGGTTCAGGGTTTGGGTACTATTTTTTAGACATGTCTACAAAATGGTATCCAGTTGCAACAGTAAGATGGTTTGAGGGTTTAGAGTTTAGTGTTTGGGGTTTAGGGTTTAGGGTTCAGGGTCAGGGTTTCGGTAGGGTTTGGGGTGTTGGCTTCAGGGTTTAGGGTTTCGGGTTTGAGGTTTAGGGTTTGGGTTTTGGGCGTTTACGGCTTTGGAAAGTTTGGGGGTTTCGGGGCTGGATTTGGGGTTCTTGGGTCGAGGGCTTGGGGCTGAGGGTTAGCTTTAAAGGTTTAGGGGGGGTGGCCTAAACCCCTAAACCCTATAGATCCTGAACCCCAAACCCTAAACGCCTAAGCCCCTAAACCCTAAATCCTAAACCCTAACCCTAGGGCTCTGCGTTTAAAACCCTAAACTTAAGGGGTATAAGGAGGGACCGCTAGAAGGGGCCCTTAATCTTATTTTTCTAGAAACTCTATATACATCATAAAGTCCCTACATACCTAAGTAGCCCCTAAAAAACCCCCAAATAACCCCGAAGGGTCCCTTGTAAGGGTCCCTCCTTTCGGCCCTTGATAAACCGAAACCCTACACCCTAAAGCCCGCTCAAGACTTGAAGCCCTAGAGCAACCACTGGGGGTCCCAGGTGTTGGGGTTGAGGAGTTTCGAGTTTGGGGTTTAGGGTTTAGGGTTTAGGGTTTAGGTTTTAGGGTTTAGGGTTTAGGGTTTAGGGTTTAGGGTTTAGGGTTTGGAGCTTAGGGATTCGGGCTTGAAGTTTAGGGTTGACGGCTGAGGGCTTAGGGTTGAAGGTTTAGGGTTCAGGGTGTTTCCCGTCGGCTGCTATGTAACGTACGGCTTAGGGTGCTAGGGTGTCTGTTAGGGTTTCAGAGTTCAAGTTTGATAGGGAACTGCTTCAAACTTTGAACCCTGATTCCCTTGGAACTAGCCCTGAACCCTAAACCCTAAACCCTAAACTTCATCAAACCCTAAACCCCAAACTCCCAACCCTAGGCTTTTCTTCAGGCATGCTGCTCTGAGTGGTGCCAACGAGCACCAGTGAAACGGCGCGAGGGGTGAACTGAGGGACAGTTCAGGTGGGTACCTGCTCTTTCTGGGAGGCTCGCCGGAGAAGCCGTGTACGAAATGATAGGCCTCTCACATAAGCCTCCAACTATGCTAGGCCGAAAGCTCTTCAGTGAGTCTCGGCATAGGCTCGGAGTAACAACCGATTGGTGATCGTCTTGATCTTGAAGTATGTCGCCAGCACCAGTACGGCGACCAGAGCCATGCAGGCACCCAGCACGAGGCCAATCTGGCCGTGCTTGATGATGCCTCATCTATCGTTCCAACCCCTGCAACCCTAAACCCCCCCAACCCCTAAACCCTTCAAATTCCTAAACCCCCTGAACCCCCTAAACCCTATGTACCCTAACCCCCTAAACCCCCTAAACCCTCTAAACTCCTGAACCCTGAGCTGGGAATTGAGTTCCTCGAACCTTCCATGGCATGTGGCATTAGCACGAAAGTCCCCTCCACCCCAAACCCCGAAACCCTAAACCCCAAACCCTAAACCCCAAACCCTAAACCCCAAACCCCAAACCCTGGAATGCCTTGGAGCAGAATGTCCATGACCCAGGCGATGATGCCCGCGATGAAGCTCCAGGTGGGCACTTCAACGATCCAGGAGATGCCCTGCGCCCACTCACGAATGTGCCTTGGGTAGATCCAGGAACCATGTTGGGGTTTGGGGTTTAGGGTTTGGGGTTTGGGGGTTTAGGGTTTAGGGTTTAGGGTTTGGGGTTTAGGGTTTAGGGTTTAGGGTTTAGGGTTTAGGGTACCCTTCTTAGGTCGGTTGCCCCACAAGGGAACCTTGAACCCAGACAAGGGCAAAAAATTGCACCACTGGGTTCCACCCAGGTTCTCGTCCGGGACGAAGCCGATCATCATGTAGAGGATCGTCGACATGATCGCTGACACCGTGCCTAGGATGGCCCTTAAGACCCTCTGAAAAAGATTCCTGAATATGATCCTCTTAAACCCAATAGGGGAGAAATATTCCTGAATATGATCCTCTTAAACCCAAGAAGGGGAAACAAATAGCAAAAATCCTGACTATGATCCTCTTAAACCCAATCAGCGAAAACAAAAAATATCCCAGGGGCCTGCCTAAGGTGCACATCAGCATCGCCACGAACGCGAAGCAAGGATGCAGGTTCTTGCAGAGGGAGTGGTGGCGCACCAGGGACAAGGTGTACTCGTCACACTCCACCTATACTCCCCCTTTTGAGCCTGAATAAGAAGAGTACTTTTGTTGTTTTCCCTTATTTTGGGTCTTATATAAACAAAAACAAGCGTAATTCCCACGGGGGAGGTAGCCACGGAGTCCGTGAAGTTGCACATGGTGAGGATGAGCGCGGCCACCACGCCGATCGTGCTCCAGGCGCCCTGGTTTAGGGTTTAGGGTTTGGGGTTTAGGGTTTAGGGTTTAGGGTTTAGGGTTCAGGGTTTAGGGTTTAGGGTTCAGGGTTCAGGGTTTAGGGTTTAGGGTTTAGGGTTTAGGGTTTAGGGTTTAGGGTTTAGGGTTTAGGGTTTAGGGTTTAGGGTCCTGCGTCCGCTCCCGGAAGCTCCCGGCATCCAACTTCTCGGTGCCAAGGACGGGCAGCATGAGCAGGAACGGGGACTTGCTGGCGGCCGACGCATCCTGCATGATCTCCGCCATGGGGAGCGCTTTTTTTGCCCTAAACCCTAAACCCTAAACCCTAAACCCTAAACCCTAAACCCTAAACCCTAAACTCTTTTTTTGGATCTCCTAAACCACTCAGAGCGAAGAGCCGCTTTTTGGCGAGACAGAGGTGGCGAAGTAATGGGGGCCGAAATGGCAACCCCTGGACCCACGCCCTAAAGCAAAACCCAGCCTTAGGGCTTAGGGCTGAGGGTTTAGGGTTGAGGGTTTAGGGTAGGACATGCGCAGGATACCTACCCCTGAACCCCTGAGCTGTCGTCAGAGGCCGACACTTCTTGTCAGGTCTTAGGAACAGGGTTTCGGGTAGTTCGGGGTTTGGGGTTTGGGGTTTGGGGTTTAGGGTTTAGGGTTTGGGGTCCAGCATGATGGGTTTCGGGGTTCTGGTGGACCTTTCTTTTCTGAGTGGCGTTGGCTATTCGCGTTAAGCGAAAATATACTGCCCAATTTCCTAACTGTCAGGGCCGTACCGAAACAGGAACCTCTGTAGGGCACTTAACAGGTTCATGACACATGCTGGCTAGCTGTAAGTTTTTCCTACAACTCGCCAGTTTAGAACTGAGGTAGCCGATACACAAGGCCTGTTAGAATGCTTCTGATTAGGAGGATGACCTCAACCAGTTAGCAAGTCCCCTAAACCCAAAACCCTGGACCCCCAACCAGTAAGTCTCACGAGCCTCATGTTTGTCAACTCGCAGGAGGGTTTAGAGGAGATCGTTGACTTTCTGCCCAACTGGTCCATCCCTGCAACCCCTGCAACCCTCGGATGAAATTCGCTAGGCCTCTGGCTGCAAAAGGGCTTAGGGCATAGGGTTCTGGTTGCAAGGTTCAGGGTTTAGGTTCTAGACGATGCACAGGGAGTTTCGGGGTTGAGGGCGGCAGGGCATTGGGGTTTCCAGGGCCCCCAAGGTCTGAGAGAGAACTCCCCAGTAGCCTTGAACGCCAAGACCCTGAGGCCCTTTGGGACTTCCCCCGGTGTGCTTCGAGAGATCCTGAGTATCTGCCTGATGCCCTTAAACCCTAAACCCTAGCCCCTAAACCCCAAACCCCAAACCCCAAACCCCAAACCCTAAACCCTAAACCCTAAACCCTAGCCCTAAACCCCAAACCCTAAACCGTAACCCTCAACCCTAAACCCTAAACCCAAGTTCGGAAACCCCCATAGTCCGCCCAGCTGCCGGCTCCGGCGGTCGCGGCGCCCGGGGCTGCGGCTGCGGCCGAGATCCTCTGAAGCCGAAGGGTTCAGGGGTTGTAGGGGAGAAAGAGTTTAGGGGTTTAGGGTTTAGGGTTTAGGGTTTAGGGTTTAGGGTTTAGGATTTAGGGGACTTAGCGCTTGACCCTGAACCCTAAAAACCCAGTAGAAGCCCCTAAACCCTAAACCATGGTTTCGGGGGGAAATGGGGGGCTCAGGGGGTGGAAGGATGAAGGGCCTCTAGAGCTTAGAGTGCGAAAGGTTGTGGGTTCAGGCTTCAGGAACAGGGGGGGCTCAGGGGCTTAGGGGTCTAGGGGTTTAAGGAGTCAAGGCTTTAGGGGTTTTGGGGTTTAAGGGCTTAGGCTGTTGGGTCTTTCTGCGCCTCGGGTTTGTAGGTTCGGAAAAGTGGGCATCCAAGGCTGCCCTGGCGCCTCGGCGTTCAAGGAGGGCTCCGACGGGGCGGGCACCTGCGCGCAGACGCGAGGGCTTGGATTGCAGGCGGTTTACGGGTTTAGGGGTTTAGAGGGTGAGGGTTTAGGGTTTAAGTGCACTATCAACCCTAAACCCTAAACCCAGATGTAGGATGTTGAACGCAGAGAACGCACGAATACTATTAATAAACGAACGAAGTAAGTACTTTCATTGTGTGAGAGAGAGAGGGAACGAAGTGGAATCTCCTAACCGGCCCACATTAAAGTAGTACTAAAACGACGGGAAAGAATGCACGTGCCATTAGAAATAGAAGGGTTGCGGCTGTCGGGCTGTTTCAAGTTCAGGGCGCGGTGTCTTGCAAGAACACCAGCTTTCCTCCAGCAAGAACACCAGCTTTCCTCCAGTTCAACTGGTCTTCAGTGATCTCTCGTCTCCTTAACTGATAGCTGGTGCATCTGATGCTGTTTGGGCTTGGGTTTGGCTAGAGTTGAGGGTTTACGGCTTCGGGGCTTCAGGGTTTTCGGGTTTTAGGGTTTTATGGTTTTGGGGGATAAAGCGTTTCGGCTCAGAAATCTTGTGCGCGATAAGCAACACACAATGCCAGTCAAGTGCCCTGAAGCTGGATTTTGGGGCTTTGGGCTTCGGCCTGCGGGTTGTCCAGGTTTGTTTCTGTTCATTTAGGTTTATTGAGGGCTTCTTACGCTCGGGGCTAAGTACCAGGTCTATTGAGGGTCTGGGGAGTCAGACTGAAGACACGAGAAGCTCAGCACAGAGAAGACCGGAAACCCAAGACCCCTGGCCCGAAAGCCCATATAAACAAAGAGACAGGGTTTGGGGTTTGGGGTTTAGGGCTTAGGGTTTAGGGTTTAGGGTAGCCCGAACCCTACACCCCGAAACCCAAAACCCGATACAACCATCCGGAAGACCCTATACCCTGAACCAAAAAACCCCCAAACCCTAAACCCTAAACCCGAAACCCTAAACCCTAAACCATGAACCCTAAACCCTAAACCCAACCACCCGCCTCCGGTTCTGGCTCCGCAGCATCTGCGAAGTGCACCCGCTTGGCCCTTCGCGTGATGTTCTGTGTTTAGGGTTTAGGGTTTAGGGTTTAGGGTTTAGGGTTTAGGGTTTAGGGTTTAGGGTTTGGGGTTTAGGGTTTGGGGTTTAGGGTTTAGGGTTTAGGGTTTTTTTTTAACTGGAATCACCTTGGTCGGGCGGAGCGTTCTCGCTCTCCAGTGGTGAAACAGGGGCATGAGGTTGGCACGAGCACGGCCCCCCTTCCCCCCAACAACACGACTCCCACATACATCGAAAACACTCGGGGAACACTTGGGAACCTGGGGCCACGAGGTCAGCACAGACGGCTCACCCCTCCCAGACGGCAGCGGATTCCTGGGGCCACGAAGTCAGCATAGGCTCACCCCCTCCCAGACGGCAGCTAGAAGATGTTATAACTCGGAACAGTCGCACCTATAAGTCCATGACGCTCAGCATCACATATTTGGAGAATTGAAAATCTGTACAGCGGCTCAGTCTGACTCAAGGGAGGAGCGTCACATCGTTCTCATTCACATCGGTGAGCGAGGAAGGGGCTACGACCCTTGCACTGACGAGGAGGAAGGGGCAACGACCCATGCACTGATACGTCTCCGACCCTTCACGTCACGTTTGTCGGTCACCTCCTCAATGCCCAGCTCACTGTCCGAAGCTTTCTCCGTGGACGACGGCCCATCCACCTCCACCATATCAACCACCACCATGCCAGGAAGAAAACCTCCACAGCGTTCCTGCCACAATCTCGGACTGGTAGTTGCAGGCCTCCACCACCCAGCAAGCAGGCAGTTGAGGAAGTGCTCCACCCCCTCCACATTTCCTCCCTCCTCCATGCCCACAGTCCGCCAGGCAGATCTCACTCCCGGTGTCCTCGCCCAATATCACGTCCACTCCCAGGCCCTCGGCAGTCTCCCAGCGTACACGTACACCCTCACCTCGTCGTCACCGTCCAGCGTACACGTAGCTCGTCTCAACCTCGTCCACGTAGGCCGCCCAAACCAATGAGATAGCTGGGCCCAATCTCCCCAAGGAACACCAAATAGCGGCAGCGGTTCACGAGGTGCAGCAAACTCACCGAAGACGGGGAAGACAACCTCCACGAAAAGTCGGCACCAAGTCACGAACGTCCAGTTCACGAAGCCCCCCAGGTAGAAAGAGGACGAAAGGAAACACCAAGCACACCCCTCCTTTAAGCCAAATCCTTGAGCCAAAATGGCTACGGGTTTAGGGTTTAGGGTTTAGGGTTTAGGGTTTAGGGTTTAGGGTTTAGGGTTTAGGGTTTAGGGTTTAGGGTTTAGGTTAGGGTTTAGGGTTTAGGGTTTAGGGTTTAGGGTTTAGGGTTTAGGGTTTAGGGTTTAGGGTTTAGGGTTTAGGGTTTAGGGTTTAGGGTTTAGGGTTTAGGGTTTAGGGTTTAGGGTTTAGGGTTTAGCACTCCGGATCGAGCAGTTTTATGGTTAAGCTTGATTTACGGCTTCGATTAACACCCACCCACCCAGAGAATCCCATAACATTGAAAAAGCAAAAAACTGCCACCAAAATCTGAAAATAAAGCGGCCAAACTCTGGAAATATGGGCTGTTACGGGGCCCCCCCAGGACGAGTTGTCCGGCACAAATGGGGCCCGAAACGGCCAAATTCTAAAAACAAAGCGGCCAAATTCTGAAAATAAAGCGGCCGATTCTGAAAATGAAACGGCCAAATTCTGAAAATGAAGCGGCCAAATTATGAATATAAAGCGGCCAAATTCTGAAATTCAATTAAGGTTAAAATTATATGGTTTAGAGGGTTTAGGGTTTAGGGTTTAGGTTTAGACCCTAAACTCCAAGCCCCAAACCCTAAGCCCTGAACATTCAAGGGAATAAGGGCTCAGGGTTTAGGCCCTGTGTTCTTGGAAGCTTCTCGGCTTGCGGAAGCCAGCGTCGGGGGCTTGGAGTCTAGGGATGCGGCTTACGATCCCTCCCTGAGCCCTGAACCCTGTAAACCCCTGAACCAAAACCCGAATTCCCTAAACCCTAAAGCCGAAACCCGAAACCCCTAATCCCAAACTGGACACCTAAACCCAGGAGCTCCAAACAAGGGGAAGCGTCCGCCGGAGAAGTCTTTCGAGGAGGGGGGGGGGGGGGGGGTTTAGGGCTTAGGGTTTAGGGTTTAAGGTTTAGGGTTTAGGGTTTAGGGTTTCGGGTTTCGGGTTTGGGTTTGAGGTTTAGGGCTTAGGGGGCTGATTCTCTAAGCTCAGCAACCTCCCAAGCCCCGAAGCCTCAAACCCCAAGCCCCAAAAAACCCAGCAACCTAAACCAGCTCAAGAGATGCGCTAGCGACTCCACACGCTTATTTGGTTGTCCAGTAGCCCTAAACCCTAAACCCTAAACCCTAAACCCTGAACCCCAAACCCTGCTCAGACCTGGGGCAGGCGTCTGGCCCTCGAAGGGCTGGGCGCAGCAGCCTGGGGCATGATGTCGGGGAGATTCAGGGGGCTTGGGATTTAGGGTTTAGGGTTTAGGGTTTAGGGTTTAGGGTTTAGGGTTTAGGGTTTAGGGTTTAGGGTTTAGGGTTTAGGGTTTAGGGTTTAGGGTTTAGGGTTTAGGGTTTAGGGTTTAGGGTTTAGGGTTCATGCAAACGGTCACTCGGAGGGTTTAAGGTCTAGGGTGGCCACCAAACCCCTGCCTACTTGAAGCTACCTGAAGCTTCATGAAGCTACATGGGTATGTGCAAGCAGACATAACCGTAGTGGCCCGCTAGCAGCTCTCAGCTCCTTCTACCAAAAGCCCCTAAACCCTAGACCCTAAACCCCTAAACCCATAAACCCTAAACCCCCCAAACCCTGAACCTTAAAGCCTAAACCGCTCAACCCTTAAAAACAAACAAAAAACAATCCGGCACCCAAGTAGCTTGGAGGACTCGGAGCGTGCGCGCAGGCGCAACACCTGGCCTTCAGCCGGTGCGTTGGTGAGGGAGCCTGGGATGTTTTGGATTTGCAGAGTTTTGGGTTTAGGGTTTCGGGTTTAGGGTTTAGGGTTTAGGGTTTAGGGTTTAGGGTTTAGGGTTTAGGGTTTAGGGTGCTGGGTCTGGGGCTGTGGCGTTTCTAGGGTTTGTAGAGATGTGCTTTGAGTGCTGAAGGGCTGTCTGTGGTTGTTCAGGAGCTTGTACAGGGTTAGGGTTGAGGGTTGAAGGTTTAGAGTTTAGTGTTCAGGTTTGTTGCTAGGGTTTTAGAGGCTTTTCAGGGAGCTTGGGATGCTTGGGTCTTCGGTTCTCCTTCAACGTTCATGTGACGAACTAGTTCTATGTTTGGGTCGTGGCCACAGACCGTCACACAAGGAAGAATGCACATGCACTGCGACATCCCGGTTCTTCACCCTAAGCCCCCCAAGCCGCCTCAGACCCCTTACAGTAAACCCCTTAACCCCACTTAAACCCCTTGAAGCCCTTAAACCTCTCAAACCCTTAGACTCCCTTAAACCCCTTAAACCCCAAACCCTAAACCCCAAACCCTAAACCCCAAACCCTAAACCCTAAACCCTAGACCCCAAACCCTATACCCTAAACCCCAAACCCCAACCCCCAAACCCTAAACCCCAAACCCTAAACCCCAAACCATAAACCCTAAACCCTAAACCCCAAACCCTAAACCCTAAACCCCAAACCCTAAACCCCAAACCCTAAACCCTAAACCCCAAACCCTAAACCCTAAACCCTAAACCCTAAACCCCAAACCCTCCCCCCAATTTAGAAGGGGTGGAGCCCAGGCGGTCGGAGAGAAGCGCTCCGAGGGAGGCAGCAGCCTCGGCTGCCTAGGGGTTAGGGTTTAGGGTTTAGGGTTTAGGGTTTAGGGTTTAGGGTTTAGGGTTTAGGGTTTTGGGGTTTGGGGTTTTGGGTTTAGGGTAAGTTTTAGGGTATAGGGTTTAGGGCATTCGGGGATCTAAGCCACATTGGTATTTGGGGTACTGGCGGGAGGTAACAGGTAGCTAGGGCAGAGAGAAATGGATGAGATCCCCGTACAGCCTCAGAATTGCATATGTCCTCACCCCTCAACCCTTAAGCCCTGAACGGCCCTGAACCCTAAACCCTAAACTCTAAACCCGAAACCCTAAACCCTGAACCCTGAACCCTGAACCTTGAACCTTGAACCTTGAATCCCGAACCTGAACCTCTAAACCTTAATCCGAAACCCGAAACCCTGAAACACCCTTTCCGGGTTGCGTTGGGGCTGACGGTTTCCGTACAGTTCCGATATCCTCTGAACCCCCGAACCTTGGGCATGGGCTAAACCCTAAACCCTGAAAGCCTGAGCCCTAAACCCTAAACCCTAAACCCTAAACCCTAAACCCTAAACCCTAAACTCCTTTTTGAAACCCTAAATACTTCGAAGGCAGGCGTTGCCACGGGGCTATTGTGAGAGGGCTTTGGGGTTTAGGGTTTAGGGCTTAGGGTTTAGGGTTTAGGGTTTAGGGTTTAGGGTTTAGGGTTTAGGGTTTAGGGCTTAGGGTTTAGGGTTTTGGGCTTTGGGCTTAGGGTTTAGGGTTTAGGGTTTAAGGTTTAAGATTTGAAATGTATGTGGGATTTGTTAGGCTCAGGCTTGGTGCCCGGATTTCAGGGCTTAGGGTTTAGGGCTAAAGCCCTAAACCCTGAACCCTGTAATCCTTCAACCCTTGAAACCCTAAACCTAAACCCTAGACCATACATCCTGAAACCCTGAACCCTAAACCCGAAGCCCTACACCCTAAACCCTAAACCCTAAACCCTAAACCCTAAACCCGAGGCTTGGTCCCAGCAGCTTTGGCGAGCACACACTGCCACTCCCAAGGCGGCGCCCCGCACTCTGGGTAGGTGGGGGCCTGGATTTGGGGTTTAGGGTTTAGGGGTTTAGGGTCTAGGGTTTAGGGTTTGGGGATTAGGGTTTAGGGTTTAGGGTTTGGAGTTTAGGGTTTGGGGTGTTGGGGTTTAGGGGTTTAGGGTTTGGGGATTAGGGGTTTAGGGTTTAGGGTTTAGGGTTTGGGGGTTTCGGGTTTAGGGTTTAGGGTTTAGGGTTTAGGGGTTTAGGGTTTAGGGTTAGGGGTTTAGGGTTTAGGGTTTGGGGTTTAGGGTTTAGGGGTTTAGGGGTTTAGGGTTTCGGTCTTCGGGGATTCGGGTGTTTACAGGCTTTAGGGCTTCAGGGCGCCTTCCCTCTTGTGATAGGCTCCAAGCCGCTCCCCCAAGTTGTAGCCTGTTCGGGTTTCGCAGCCCTTTTCCACTGACTCCTAAAAGGGCCCCCAACAAGGGCCGAAGGGGTCTTCGGACTATAAGCCCCCTAAACCCTAAACCCTAAAAGGGTTGCAGGGCGGGCCTCCAGTGTCGAAGGCTTAGGCTATTAAGGTTTCGGGCTTGGGGTTCGGGGTTTAGGGTTCGGCATCTAGGCCTTATCGGCTTCTGTTATTTGCGGCTTTGGAGTGTCAAGGTTTAGGGTTGAAAAGTTTAGGGTTTAGGGGTTAGGGTTTAGGGATTAGGGATTAGGGTTTAGGGTGGATTTCTGGGTTTGAGGGTTTCGCGGTTTCGGGTTGGCTTTCGGGTTGTACGGTTTGGTCTCTGCGCTTCAGTTCCCCCACCTGCGTGTGGAGGTTTGCCGGAGCGGCCCCACTCCCTCCTGGCAGGGCTGAGGGCGGGTTTTAGGGATAACCCTAAACCCTAAACCCTAAACCCCAAACCCTAAACCCCAAACCCTAAACCCCAAACCCCAAACCCTAAACCCTAAACCCTAAACCCTCCCTTCGCCCAACGGGCCTCCACTCGGACGACCTCGGCCCACAGCCGCAGATCGCACCTTGGCAGCAGAGAGTTTGGGGTTTAGGGTTTAGGGTTCAGGGTTTAGCGTTTAGGGTTTACGGTTTGGGGTATGGGGTATGGGGTTTAGGGTTTAGGGTTAAGGGTTCAGGGTTTAGGGTTTAGGGGTTTGGGGTTTGGGGTTTGGGGTTTTGGGGTTTGGGGCTTGGGGCTTGGGGTTTGGGGTTTGGGGTTTGGGGCTTGGGGTTTGGGGTTCAGGAAAGAATAGCAACTTATGCCTTAGTCTTCACCGTTGAAACCATGAAGACCCAAGCTCTGGCCGCAACAAAGTTCGAGTCTGCCAAGGGGCGCCGTCCCAGTCCAGCGCGCAGCGCGCAGCTTGCTCACTGAGGGCGGGATTTATCGAGGCTTGGGGTTTTAGGGTTGAGGGTTTAGGGTTTAGGGTTTAGGGTTTAGGGTTTTAGGGTTTAGGGTTGAGGGTTTTAGGGTTGAGGGTTGAGGGTTGAGGGTTGAGGGTTGAGGGTTGAGGGTTGAGGGTTGAGGGTTGAGGGTTCAGGGTTGAGGGTTGAGGGTTGAGGTGTAAGGTTCAGGGTTCGGAGTTTGGGGCTTCATGTTGGGTTTAGGGTTTAGGGGTTAGGGTTAGTGTTGAATGAGTTTAAGAGGGACAGCAAGGCCCGGCAACTGATTTAAAGGCCGGCCCTACGAAATTTGCTTACGACACCCCGACGTTTTGACTAATTTGCAGACACCACTCTGGATCCCGAAACCGTTCGGGTGTCCTGAATTGCCCGGCCAACTGGATTTTTATAGAGGATACCCCTGTTAAACATTAGGGCTTAAGGTTTAGAGTCTAGGGTCTCGGGATCCAAGGGGGCAACACCCCAATGTCGGAGACAGCCTTGTTGACTTTGGGATGAGGGATGAGGGTTGTTTAATCCTACTCTGTTCATCTCTGCTCCCTAAACCCTAAACCCTAAACCCTAAACCCTAAACCCTAAACCCTAAACCCTAAACCCCTAAGTGGGTAGCCGCACAACTACCCCTTCAGGGTTTAAAGGTTTCAGGCATGAGGGTTTGGGGTCTCGCTTTCGTTTTGGAGTCCCGGGCAACCCTAAACCTTAAAACCCGATCTGTCCCTAAAAGCCACCCCTACATGAAAAACCCCTAAAACCGCACAAAAAAAAAAACTGCCAAAAACCTTCTAAGACCCTGAAGCCCCAAATTCCCGACCCTGAAAACCTGAGCCCAGAGCCCTCAACTCGGAACCCCAAGCCCTCAACCCTCAGCTCTCAACCCGAACGAAACCCTAAACCCGAAACCCTCCCCTAAACCCGAAACCCGAAACCCTAAACCCGAAACCCTCACCCTAAACCCTAAACCCTAAAACCCTACACCCCTAAACCCTAAACCCCTAAACCCCGAAACCCCTAAACCCCCTAAACCTCAAAGCCTCTCCAGCTGGTCGTTGGCGCGGACCTCCTCAGGCACCACAGAAGAGTAATGATCACGACAAAAATAAGGTCAGAAAATAGTTTAGGGTTTAGGGTGGGTTTCGGGTTTCGGGTTTAGGGTTTCGGGTTTCGGGTTCCGGGTTTAGGGTTTCGGGTTTAGGGTTTAGGGTTTAGGGTTTCGGGTTTAGGGTTTAGGGTTTGAGGGTTTAGGGTTTAGGGTTTAGGGTTTAGGGTTTAGGGTTTAGGGTTTAGGGTTTAGGGTTTAGGGTTTAGGGTTTAGGGTTTAGGTTTAGGGGGCTTCGGGTTTAGGGTGCCCAAGACGTCGAAGCATTCAACTCGGAACTTGCCAGGCGCCGGAGCCTCAAGAAAGGACACCTCGTCACGACACCAAGGGTGGAGCAAAAAGGGTTCCCTTTAAGGGGTATAAGGATTTAGGGTTTAGGGTTTAGGGTTTAGGGTTTAGGGTTTAGGGTTTAGGGTTTAGGTTTAAGCTTTACGGTTTGAAGGGGCCCTTAATCGGCAACCCGAAGCCCCAAGCCACTCTAAGGGTAGTTTCATGGGCCCTTATGTTGGGTCCCTAACCTCCTTTAAAGGTTTTGATTTGTATCAAGAAGAAGCAGGGTGGATTGCAAGTCCTTGAACCCTAAACCCTAAACCCCAAACACTAAACCGTCCCTAAACCCTAAACCCTAAACCCTAAACCCCAAACCCTGAACCCTAAACCCTAAACCCTAAACCCTAAACCCTAAACCCGAAACCCTAAACCCTAAACCCTAAACCCTAAACCCTAAACCCTAAACCCTAAACCAAACCCTTCATCCCCGAGGTCCTTGTCGTACAACTCCAAGAGCCGGCCTGCAGGAGTTGTTCTTGGAGGGCGGCACTTGGGGGGGGGGGGGGGGGGGGCTGCAACTTGAGGTTTGGGGTGCAGGGTTTTGGGTTGAGGGTTTAGGGTTTAGGGTTGAGGGTTTAGGGTTTAGGGTTTAGGGTTTAGGGTTTAGGGTTTAGGGTTTAGGGTTTAGGGTTTAGGGTTTGGGGTTTGGGGTTTGGGGTTTAGGGCTTGGGCTCTGGAATGCTAGAATACCCCACCCCTCCCCCGACAAGCGAAAAGACGCAGACTCCTGCTCCAGGCTCCACACCTTCAACGCTAAGCCCTCAACACTTAACCCTTAACCCGAAACCCGAAACCCTCAACCCTAAACCCTAAAACCCTAAAACCCTAAACCCGCAACCCTCAACCCTAAAACCCTTACCTCGAATGGTCGTTCCTAAGAGGCGCACCTCGCTTCTCAGTCTGGCTCAGCGGCCAGTCTAACGAATGGCTCCTAGGGTTCAGGGTTCAGGGTTCAGGGTTTAGGGTTTAGGGTCTAGGGTCTAGGGTCTAGGGTCTAGGGTCTAGGGTCTAGGGTCTAGGGTCTAGGGTCTAGGGTCTAGGGTCTAGGGTCTAGGTTCTAGGGTCTAGGGTCTAGGGTCTAGGGTCTAGGGTCTAGGGTCTAGGGTCTAGGGTCTAGGGTCTAGGGTCTAGGGTCTAGGGTCTAGGGTCTAGGGTCTAGGGTCTAGGGTGCGGGTGGAGGGAGGGGGCCTAAACCCTAAACCCCAAACACCCCGAACCGTAAACCCCACAAACACTGCGCCACCGAAACGCCACGGTTAGGAGCTAAAGAGTTTACAGATGGCTTTGAGCAGGGTTCTATCATGAAAAAGGCTGGGAACTGGGAATTCAAAACAGCTCCATGTTCGCAACACCAGCAAACCGGGCGAAACCCTAGGTTGAGGTTTTCGGGTTTATAGGGTTTTGGGTTTAGCACTCGGGGTTTACGGGCTAAGGGTTCATAGGGTGCGAATTTGGTGCAACATTTTGGGGGTTAAGAGGTTTGGTTAGGCTTCCACCCCCCTGTGCCCCTGAATTCTATGGTTTAGGGTTTTGGGTTTCGGGTTTAGGGCTGGCATCTCGGAGAATCTTGAACCCTCCACCCCGACACCACTCACGCGTCCTCATGGAAATGGCATGCGAAAGCCGTCGTCCCTACATCGCACAGAAGAGGGCTCGGGCTCTGGACCCCTAGACAGTCAACCCTAAACCCTGGTTTAGGGTTGAGGGCTTAGGGTCGAGGCTCAGAAAACAAACCCTAAGACTCTACAAACCTAATCACCCGTAAAAACCCTCTGCAGGAGACTCAAGCTGGTGAGCCAAGAGGGTGGAGTTTGGGGTTTGGCAAGCACTTATGGGGTCTGGGGGTCAGGGCTCAGGAGTTTAGGGTTTAGGGTTTAGAGTTGAGGGTTTAGGGCTTAGGGTTTCGGAAAATCCTGAAAGTGGAACCCAAACCATGACGCTTTTCCCCTACCGGCATCTTGAGCCGACATGAAGGTGGCAGGCCCACGTCACCAAGGTGGCTTAGTGTTCATTCAAGGTTCAGGGTGTATTTAGGGTTTCGGGTTCAAGGCTTATTTGGGGTTCAGGGCTCAGGGTTTACTTGCGGTTTCGGGCTTAAGGCTTATTTAGGGTTTAGGGATCATGGTTACTAGGGTTCAGGGTTTACGTGGGGTTTCGGGAGTTCAGGGTTCAGGGTTTGCTTAGGTTTTCGGGTTCAAGGCTTATGTGGGGGGGTTCAGGGTTTGCTCAAGGTTTCGGGTTCATGGCTTATTTGGGGTTTAGGGTTAGGATATTCCGGCCCTGATAACACTGGGTTTCTGGAAATAACAAATTTTCTGTTGCTTTCAATTTTTTCAGATTCCGCACCAGGCCAGACTCAAAAACAATCCGAGAACCATTCAGAAAAAATTCACTTACGGCAGATGCAGTAGCTGCCACAAACATCAGCCAGTGACATCCGGTGATTGGCATCAATGCAGGTCTATCCTGTTCACTTTCTTGTCTCTTGTCTCCAACTTCTCGTAGCATTTTTCGAGTCACAGGCTATCCATAGCTTCCTAAACAAGAAGATGGGGTCACCTACAGCTACAGGCAAACTGCACGCAGCAGGAACGACAGTGCTGCTGCAACAATGTCTGGCTGGGGGAATCGTGTTTCCGAAGCTTAGAACGTAATGGAACACACAGCATCCCAATTTCCGCAGGATACTTGGATAGTGCAGCGCTCTACCATGTCTTTCAAGTTTTGTTTGGATCTCGGCTGCTGCTGAACTCTGATAAAGTGGATGGTTCGTGAGATTCCCCGTGACTCTGTGCACGTGTCTTTTTGTTTCTGGATTTGCTTGTGGTTTGATTTTTTGGGTTTGTTTTTTGAATTGCTTTTGGTTGCTATTTGAAGAAACTTTGGGTTTTTGGTGCTTTGTTTGTTTTTTGTGTTTTTTTGAGTTTTCCCCGGGTTTTTACAGCTTGTCCGCATTTCAGGGCCTGAGCGGTAAGGCCTCTCCTGGAGGCCTCCAAGCAGAGCTCCGAACGTCCCTGTACTCCGTTGGAATGTCACCAGCTCCCTAGCTTCGGAGACTTACCGCCAGCAGGGAGTGACCCTTCGGCAGCAGCTGCTCGCGCAGGTCTTCAGGACCCCGAGCGATCTGAGCTTCCCGGATGGCCTGCCAGAAGCTCTCCCGTACACAAGTTTCATCTGATTTGCCCTCGCGACCCTAAAGTGAAAGTGGGTTTCGTGCGGGATGGAATCCTGGCTGCTTGCTTTGATGTTGGTCTAGAGGGGATCTGGCTGTTTGTTTGTGTTTTGTCCGCTGCGCTTGTGAATTTTGTCTGGATTGCTGTTGGATGTTTTCTGGTTTGTTTATGCTCTATTTTCACTTTTTGGTTGTTTTGGTTTGTCTTCTGGCTTTTTTGGCTGTTTTTGTTGATCTTCTTTTTTTGTGGTTTGTTGTTTGGATTTAGGGGAGCGGGCTTCTGGAACTGAATATTTTTCTGAGTTTTTGTGGGGTTTGTTTAGTTGAAGTTTCCCAATCTGAACAGAGCACAGATTATCTTGAGTTTAGGGTTCAACGATAAGTTCCACTTATATGCATGTCTTGCGTCAAGGTCTTTGGTCTGTCTGGCGGCACTGCCTTCATGAGCCTACTCCCTTGATGCCTGCTCCTCAAACTGGCCCAGCGCTTCGAGCCGCTCCGCCCAGGTCTTGGGGGTCCCAACTTGGGCGGTGCTGAAATACCCCACTTGATGTACTCAAGCACGGGGTGTGGCCAGTCTATGGAATGAGAGCACCGGCTGCAATGTCGCGCGCCTGTCGGCAGTTGCACCCCTTCTTAAAAGCGCAGCCTTGCAGCACTTGTTGAGCCCACGACGAGCGTGCTGCAAACCGGGTGGAAGTGGATAGTCAGCTGGCAGGTCGCAGCCGAACTGCTTTGTGAGCTCGTTTAGGAAGGAGAAGCGGCTCTGGGCGACAAACGGGCCCGTTGCGAGCAGTGCCCGAAGGATGTCTTTCCTTCCCGAGCTCCTTGACGTGACAGAGCACCTCATGCCAGCACTGCACGCTGTGGTTAAGGCGCCAGCATGGGGGTGCGCTGATCAACCCGCTCCGAGTGAAAAACTGCGTCGCTTCGGGCATGCGTTCGGGCCGCTGACTGCTCCTGGCCAATGGGTGCAGCTCCTTGGCCGGAATGAAGTCCACGCCGCCTTGGGCGTAGCCTGTTGATGAGCGTCCTCCGGAGCTTCCTGAGCCTGACGCTTGCGGCCTGCACCGGAACTAGTTCGGGCTTCGGGTTCAAGGCGTATTTGGGGTTTGGGGTTTATGCGAGCTCGCGAGGTCACTGAAATCGATGTTGTTCATGAAGGGGTTGTTTTGCATGTGTCGGAAACCCAATGCGGCATTTCGGGGCCTGGTTTTTCGCCACCCAAAGGGCATTGCTTTCAGCAAAGAAATTTAAAAAGGACCCCTCGTGCTCATACGACGGTTGCCAATTGCTCTTTGTCTGGCCTCTGGTGACGGGAAGATTTATACTTGGGTGACTGATGATGTGGTGACATGAGGTGACCCAGGGCTTTGCCAGACAACTCAGCACGGACATAAACTGTTGAAATTCTGTTTTTTGAATTTTTTGGCAAGCGCGGGGGCTGGTGTTCGTTCTGGCGTTTGTTCTCCTGGGTGTTCGTTCTTGGTGTTCGTTTGGTGCTCGTTCTAGGTGATGTTCGTTTGGTGCTCGTTCTCATTTGATGTTCGTTTGGTGTTCGTTCTCCTGGTGTTCGTTTGGTGTTCGTTCTCCTTCTTAATTACCTCTTTGTAGAACAAGCACCAAAAGAACACCAACCGAGAACGAGCACCAAACGAACACCATGAGAACCAGCGCCAGACCGACACCAAAACCCGGAACGAACACCGGTGTTTCTGCTCAAAACGGAGAACAAACACCAGAACGAACACTTCCCCACAATCACCAAAATTTACCAAAACCAAAACATTGAGAACCTAAACGCACGGCCAACCGAAAACAATACCGTCTCGAGTCACCACAACCCACCCGCCCCCCCTCCCACCACGCGCTCGGTCACTCGGTGACTGCCAACACCGGAGCCCTGAGGTAGTTGTTCGCGAAAAAAGAGCCACCGACACAACTGCAGCACAGGTGCTTCGGGATCACTTGTATGAGAGTGCCAAGCCTTTGAAGTTTGAAATCTCTAAACGCCCTAAACCCCCTAAATCTCAAATTTGGCAGTGTACCGTGTTTTTTTTCTTGGTCTTTTGGGTTTTTGACGCAGACCGGACCTGCTAAAACGGTGCTCAATTTTTATGGGCACAAGTCAAACCAGCCCACATGCATTTCAGTGACCTCGCGAGCTCGTATATTGGGGTTCAGGGTTTTCTTAAGGTTTCGGGTCCAAGGCTGATTTAGGGTTTAGGGTTCAGGGTTTACTTAGGGTTTCGGGTTCAAGGCATATTCAGGGTTTTTGTGGTTCTGGGTCTACTTCAGGTTTCGGGTTCAAGGCTTATTTCGGGTTTAGGGTTCAGGGTTTGTTTGGGGTTAAGGGTCCAGGGTCAAAGGCTCCGGGTGAAGGATTAAGTGTTTAGGGCTTAGGGTGAAGTTTGGGCTAAACCCCAAACCTCAAAGCCCAAACCCTAAACCCTAAACCCTAAACCCTACACCCTAAGCCCTAAACCCTAAACCCTAAACCCAAGGCGCACATCTGACACCCTAGGCTTCCCACAAAACCACCAACGGGAAGATCCGAAACGCAACACAGCCAAACCCAAAACTCTGGACTCTACAAGCCCACAAGTAAACTCAAGGACCCTCCGTTGGGTCTGGCATACTGGCTGCTGGTTTGGGGTTTAGGGTTTCGGGTTGGGGTGGGGTCTTAAGTGCAAGGTCTGGCAAGGTTTAGGAGGTGTAGGGGCGGCAGGGTTTCGAGATTCGGGACCAAAACTTCCAGCATTGGAAAGTTGATCACTTTGCGGCTGTAAGCTCTGTAGGCACGGCTTCGGGTGTTATCCAACCTCGCGGCGTTCTCTGGGGTTTAGGGTTTGGGGTCTAGGGCCTAGGGTCGAGAGTTTAGGGTTTATGGTTTAGACGTCAGCCGTCCTGATGCCCCACCCTACACCCTAAACCCAATTCAAAAGCCTAAAACCCTAAACCCTAACCCTAAACTTCTTGCAGCGTGGAGGGCGCAGGTGGGGTTTTGCAGACACGGTCAGTCAGGGACAGACTCGGCAGAGACGGCTTTGGAAACGCAGACAGCTTGTGTGTCTAGTGTGGAGGCTTCTTTGCGCCTTTCAAAACCGGAACTGCAAAGTTCGCAAAAAGACTCGACTCTCTTCGAACCACACCCGAACACCACCTCCGTCTTGCACCTCTATAAACAGCGACCCCGAACCCCGAAACCCTCGAAGCCGTAGGCCTAAACCCTAAACCCTAAGCCCTAAACCTAAACCCTAAACCCTAAACCCTAAACCCTAAACCCCGAAACCCTCGAAGCTGTAGGCGTCTTACACTTGGGACGCTTGGCTTTGAGAGGTGTGCGACTCGGTACTTTCTGAGTCCTCCTCGAACATGCACCCATTCTGTCTTGAAAATGTGGGATTGCGCGACGATGTCGCCTCCTGGCAGG